AAAAAGACTTTCAGTGGGGAGTACAGGTTCTACATTGTAATATTTTTGTCATATGAGTTTAATCCATGGCATTTTCCTGTTTTGTTTCAGGTTTTTTTTTTCCCCTCATGATTCTATCACTTTTATGAGTTATTTGTTAAAGAGGTCATAGCTAGTTTGGGAGGGAGGCTTGCTTTGCCTGCCTCTGTCCCACTGTTTTGTATTTTAGAATGTCGTCTTCCCCATCTCTGGTAGGACTTGCTAGTCAGTAAGCATCAGTTCATATTTGATACAGCTTTCTTGTTTAGGTCATTTTCTTCTCCTTGTTTAATCTAGGCTTTTCATCCCCTGAAATGAGTCTTCAGTAATGAATACAGTATTGCTGCAAGGTGGTGCAATAGCACTACATCTTGGGTTGCCTGAATTAATAGACAAAATTTATATTTTTTTAATTTATTTTTTGACCATAATGTTTAACTGAAAAATAAAAAAAAAAGAGAATGAAAGGTAGATAAAGGCTGCCTTTGCTTTTAAAGGAGGGAGAATAAGGATTTATTCTTTAGTCTGGTAAAGTTTTAAACTTTAAAAAAAATCTAGAGCAGTCTATATGCATAATTTGTTGGCTCTGCCATTGAGATATATGTATGAAAGTGTGAATTTTGTTTTCTTTTTTTTCCTCTACTGACTTCCCCCTCCTCCCCCTGAATCAGGATCACTAACTTTATTCAAAAAGGCACAATAACCTATTGTATGGTACAGTGTTCTGATTCTGTCTGTGGGGAGGAAAAAGAAAATAATTTTTATGGATTTCAGATGCATACTTTTGGAAGAAAACCTCTGGCATTTTCTTCACTTTAAAAATTCTTTCCCCATACAAGCTAGAGGGCCTGTGTATTCTACAGAATCTTTGAAAGATTATAGTATATTAAATATTTTCTTTGCCATTTATTACCACTATTGAATGCATTAAACATATGTTTATACTATGCCACATGCATGAATTTAGCAGTCATTGCATTGAAACTTAAATATTTGAAGCGATAATATCCTGGTCTTACTGCTGAATTGAAAAACGTGCAAGAACGCACATGCTAGATTTCTTGCCCATGCCTTTGTAAATTTTAGTTTGTTCCCTCATACATGTCAATGCTTTTTTAAAAAAAACAAAACAAAACAAAACAACTTTGGTTCAGCTATCCAGTTTTTGAATTGCCTTCCTTGCTGTGTTCCTCATCTGCAAACTTGATCAGATCAGGTCAAGTTAACTTTGTCATTTCCCCACCCTCATACAGCTTTCACAAAAGGAACACTGCAAAGTGGTTGAAGCCTGGGATGTGAGAACCATATAGCACTTTGTTTCTAAATAAAAAATGGTGGTGATATTTCTGTGAAGCTCAAAATACTTTAAATCAGTAGTAAGTAGACACAATACTTATTTTTACAGGTTTCATTAATCAGGACCTCGCAGTATTTTTTCGTGCTGAGGTAATTGGCCAGCCAGGAGAAAGAACCCAGAAAAATTACTTTGAAGACATTAAAGATACTTAAAATTTCCTATAATAAAGATTAATATGAAAGAAACTCAGTAACATTTAGTTATGAGACAATTTAGAAGCACTAAGAAGTGCTGACTTCTGCTTCATGAAAATTAGAGGAACAGAGTGTTGTTGACAAATAAAAGATAAATGATTGAGGGTATTTTGGGGACCCTTGGAAGTAGATACACTAGGAATACAATCTAACTGTTTATGATCCTTATAGGGTAGAAATATGGCTATTTATTCAGCACAACAGTTTAAGGGTTCAAAAGGTATGTTTTTTAATTCAACTGATTTGTGGAAAAATGCTTTTAAAAATGAAACTTTGAAATAAAACTCCTTTTTTGAGCATCTGAAATGATTGATGTCATTGATAACATTGTCTGTTTTACCAATTAGAAGAGTAAAACAACACCTTGTATTTGGAAATAGTAAAATAAATTTGCACAATTTCCTCAGTTTTTTGTTTTTTTTTTTTTTTGTAATCCAATATTATAAACAACTGAAAGTGATTTTTATTCTTTGATCTATTTGAAGGGTATAGCACTTATCCTGCTGCTGACATAGTGAATGCCATCTTTTTATCAAAATGTTTTTCTGCCAGAAGGATTAGAAATGCAATTATTGATTAAACTGTTTGTTCTCAGATGAGCTGATTTTGCATTTTGTTAAAGCCAGTTTCTTTCTATGAATATTAACTGTGCAGTTTTTGTTTTGATGTATTTCATCTATGTGAATGCTGGAATTACAAATTTAAAACAGCGTACCAGCAATATATGGGCTATGATTCTGATGAGAAGTATTTTTCTGTTACTGAACTTTCAAATTCTGAGCTAAGCTATGGATAAATTAATGATTGCCAATTGAGTTTCTTAAAATCTTTTTATGACTGCAAAGAATAAATTACAAGCATTCTTTATAAATAAAAAATGGGCTATATAGTAGTTCATAATATGGGAAATATGGCATTGTTATATCTGGAAAGTGTTCTAAATTCTACACGATAATGAAAAATTCTTAAAGAATTTTGTATGAATACCTGTTGGGTAAAGAATTTTTATAGTGATGGTGGGGTGCCAGGAAGTTAATATTTGCAATCCAGATTGCTGTAGTTTACACTTTTCTCTGTTTCAGACCTGGTGTGCACTGTTTGTACTAAGCACGCCACAGAGTGAATTATCCAAAGTCCATTGATTTTAATGTGTTTTGGTTTGTAAACAAAATTATAGTAATTTCTTGCACATTTTTGAAAAATAATTGTATAAGGATTTATGTATCTGCTTCTGGATACAATGTGTAAATAAAAATTTCATTCACAAAAAAGATTTGTGGAGTGTGCTATACCTTAATGAAGTTCTAAAACAAACCTGAAAGGTGTAAAATTTGTGCATCTGACTTCACTGGTTACAATTTAAACTGTTCTATATTTTTTTAACCCTTGCTAGTTAACTTTTCCAGATATTTATGTGTACCAATTATATTAATTCCTACTTTTCAAAACAAGAAAAAAAAAGTCAGAACATAACTAGAATATGATTTTTTAAAATGTCTGCATACACACTGTAAGCTAACATTTTGATATTGTTGGGTTTTTTCCTTAAAAAGAAATCACAGAATTTGTAACAAAAGTCTCCATTTCATCTGGATGTACTTCAAAGGTAATATACTATTGCTCGGCTTCCAAGCAACCAAATAGTTCTTAATTTAGTTCCAGAATAAGGAATTTATATATGGGGTTGATCTTCATACATTCACTTGATGCTATCCTACATTCACTTTAAAAAGGGAGTGACATTTTAAACCGTGTGAAATTGCACAAATAAACCAGCAGATCAAAGATAAACAATTTCTGTGTTAACAAAAGATATGCACAGTTGTTCAAATGTTTTCATGTAGTTGGGACTTACAGATTCAGTACTCAAGTTCAAGAATATACCACCAGCTCCTTAGGTCTTGATTGTAACTGGGTTTGTTTTTTAAAAAACAAACAAAAAACCTGGCCTTGGTAGCAAGTAATTACTTTTCATATTGTCCACAGGTGATACATACTTTTCCATGTATTGTAACTTAAGTCCTAAAATAGTAACCACAAATTAATCCTGTTATCTTTTCATATTATTTTAACTTCTGGATAGGAGGTCCAAAGGGTGGAGACATCAGAAAATGAAAATCATTCTTGCTGAGGCATCATTGCTTGTCATGATGAAAATTTATGCTTAGTTCTGCTGAGTGGAGAAGGTGTTGGGGAAATTCCCAGATCCCAGACAGAAGAATGTAACTGCTGTCATTCCTGAAAAAGAAGGGGGGTTGGTGTGTGGGGTAGGTGGCATGGCAGGCCACTTCCTTTTTGTCACTCATCTGTGGCAATCAATGGCCAATTTCAAGTTTTCTAACTCCCTCTTAAGTTTTCTTTCTCTTCATGTATCTTCTCAGTTTCAGTGGATGGATCCAAATCAAAGAAATTATAAAAGCATGGAAATTGTTACTGTCACTGTATTTTCAGTGGGAAATTTTTTAATCTGATTACAGGCTGTTACATGAAATTTAATATTTCCTTTGTTAACATCAGTTAGATGTTAGGATGTGTTCATTAAAGAATCGTTTGC